TGGATATTACCTGTGTATGATTTAAAATTTTGCCACACTCATAGGCACGGGGCAGTCATCACGTAGATGCTAAGCTGCTAGGATAGTCTTAGGATACCCTGCCAGACAGAACCCCAATCCACAAGTAGACACTTTTGTTTTTTTTTTAACACATCGGCTGTTTCCCACCGAGGCAGGGTGACCCAAAAAGAAAGAAAAAACTTTCATCATCATTCAACACTTTCACCATCACTCATACATAATCACTGTCTTTGCAGAGGCGCTCAGATACGACAGCTTAAATGTCCCTCCAAACTGGTATAACTAGTAAAATATTGTCTGCTGCTCCTGCGTCTCGCTGTGTCCACGTACAGTAGGACCACCGTATCTACGGGTCCAGTTTCCACGGTTTCTGTTATCCATGGTTGACCGTGACCCAACAATAACCCTTATTTTCGGGTCCATTGTGCAAAAGCGATAATGATGGGAGTTCTTCAAAGCCTAAGAGAATCTGTGAAGTGCTTCCCATTAGTGAAAAAGTGCTAATTCCTGACTTACTGTGCATAATTTATCAATTAAACTTTATCATGGGTATGTGCGTTAACGAAAAATTGCTCAAATATAGGGTTCGTTACTATCCATGGTTTCAGGTATCCGGCGGCAGGTCTTGGAATGTATCCCCGTAGTTACCAGGGAGGGATACTGTACTATATTGTTTTTTTTTACTTGTTCAAACTTTCGGTGAGCAAAACAATTGCACTGTCTTATGTTCCATATATGTGTGTGTCCATTTACCTGACAAAAGTGCTGAATCAACCAGGCTGTGAGGAGCATACAGGTCAGTAGGTTGCCAATTGCAACAGCCTGGTTGACCAGACAAGCACCAGACCCAGCGTCTTGTGTTCAGTAGTCGTAGCTACTGGAACAAAGGTAAGATCACAATGTCTTGCCTTTGTTATTTTATTGGGTCATATAGATTTTTTAACCCTCAAACTGTCCAAACGTAGATCTACGTTTGCTCATGTAGCACTCCGAACATAGATCTACTTCTTTTTTTTTTTTTTCATTGTTTCCTATGGAGAAAATCAAGGTCGGAGTGTTACGCGTGCAAACGTAGATTTACGTTTGGACAGTTTAAGGGTTAAAACTCTCCACTGATTGTGTTTACAAGACATACTTTTGTTCTATTGTTGGCTTGCGTGTCTTTCTAAAACAATGTCAGTACTGTAGGGACCAGCTTATGCAGTAAATTAGGTTCTGGGTTACTGTTGAGCCCCTGCTTATACAGCAGGTTAGGTTCCAGGCTACTGTAGGTCCCCATTTACACAGCAGGTTAGGTTCCATGTTACTGTAGGGCCCCACTTATACAGCAGGTTAGGTTCCATGTTACTGTAGGGCCCCATTTACACAGCAGGTTAGGTTCCATGTTACTGTAGGGCCCCACTTATACAGCAGGTTAGGTTCCATGTTACTGTAGGACCCCATTTATACAGCAGGTTAGGTTCCATGTTACTGTAGGGCCCCATTTACACAGCAGGTTAGGTTCCATGTTACTGTAGGGCCCCACTTATACAGCAGGTTAGGTTCCATGTTACTGTAGGGCCCCACTTATACAGCAGGTTAGGTTCCATGTTACTGTAGGTCCCCATTTACACAGCAGGTTAGGTTCCATGTTACTGTAGGACCCCATTTATACAGCAGGTTAGGTTCCATGTTACTGTAGGGCCCCATTTACACAGCAGGTTAGGTTCCATGTTACTGTAGGGCCCCACTTATACAGCAGGTTAGGTTCCATGTTACTGTAGGGCCCCACTTATACAGCAGGTTAGGTTCCATGTTACTGTAGGTCCCCATTTACACAGCAGGTTAGGTTCCATGTTACTGTAGGACCCCATTTATACAGCAGGTTAGGTTCCATGTTAATGTAGGGCCCCATTTACACAGCAGGTTAGGTTCCATGTTACTGTAGGGCCCCACTTATACAGCAGGTTAGGTTCCATGTTACTGTAGGGCCCCACTTATACAGCAGGTTAGGTTCCATGTTACTGTAGGGCCCTACTTATACAGCAGGTTAGGTTCCATGTTACCGTAGGGCCCCACTTATACAGCAGGTTAGGTTCCATGTTACTGTAGGGCCCCACTTATACAGCAGGTTAGGTTCCAGGTTATGAATCTATTACCAAGGCTCCTACCACTCTCTGTGTTACAGCATGGCATCTCCACACACGGCTGGCTGCGTGGCGTTGATCATATCAGCGCTGAAGCTCAAGTCCATTCCATATTCTCCGTACTCCGTCCGTCGTTCAATACAAAACACTTCCCTCAATCTTGATGTGGATGTTTTTGCCCAGGGCCACGGCTTGATCCAGGTGAGTACTGTTCTTGTTCTTTCTTGTGTTCTTGATGTTCATACTGTTCTTGTTTTTGAGGTTATGTTCTTGATGTGGATGTTTTTGCCCAGGGCCACGGCTTGATCCAGGTGAGTACTGTTCTTGTTCTTTCTTGTGTTCTTGATGTTCATACTGTTCTTGTTTTTGAGGTTATGTTCTTGATGTGGATGTTTTTGCCCAGGGCCACGGCTTGATCCAGGTGAGTACTGTTCTTGTTCTTTCTTGTGTTCTTGATGTTCATACTGTTCTTGTTTTTGAGGTTTTCTTGATGTGGATGTTTTTGCCCAGGGCCACGGCTTGATCCAGGTGAGTACTGTTCTTGTTCTTTCTTTTGTTCTTGATGTTCATACCATCCTTGTTCTTGAGGTTATGTTCTTAATGTTCATTCTGTTGTTCTTGAGGTTATGTTCTTGATGTTCATACTGTTCTTGTTTCTTGAGGTTTTGTTCTTGATGTTCATACTGTTCTTGTTTCTTGAGGTTATGTTCTTGATGTTCATACTGTTCTTGTTTCTTGAGGTTATGTTCTTAATGTTCATTCTGTTGTTGTTGAGGTTATGTTCTTGATGTTCATACTGTTCTTGTTTCTTGAGGTTATGTTCTTGATGTTCATACTGTTCTTGTTCTTGAGGTTATGTTCTTAATGTTCATTCTGTTGTTCTTGAGGTTATGTTCTTGATGTTCATACTGTTCTTGTTCTTGAGGTTATGTTCTTAATGTTCATTCTGTTGTTCTTGAGGTTATGTTCTTGATGTTCATACTGTTCTTGTTTCTTGAGGTTATGTTCTTGATGTTCATACTGTTCTTGTTTCTTGAGGTTATGTTCTTGATGTTCATAATGTTCTTGTTCTTAATGTTGATGTTTTTACCCAGGGCCACGGCTTGATCCAGGTGAGTACTCTTCTTGTTCTTTCTTGTGTTCTTGATGTTCATACTGTTCTTGTTCTTGAGGTTATGTTCTTGATGTTGATGTTTTTGCCCAGGGCCATGGTTTGATCCAGGTGAGCACTGTTATTATGTTCTTGATGTTCATACTGTTCTTGTTCTTGAGGTTATGTTCTTGATGTTCATACTGTTCTTGTTCTTGAGGTTATGTTCTTGATGTTCATACTGTTCCTGTTGTTTCTTGATATGATCCTGATGTTCGTGTTGTTCTTCATGTTTCTAGAATTTAAAAGGTGATGCATTGAGTCATCTGTGGAGACAAAGAACTTCGTCCATGGAGAAGGGGTTACTAGCCCCTTCCTCCCGGCATTTTAGTCACCTCTTTCGACACATATGGCTTACGGACAAAAGATTCTCGAGCATTTTTTGCATATTTAAAATTCTCCATACATTTGCATTCTTCGTGTTTTCAGGGACCAGATTTAATTCTCTTCGCTTGCTTTGAAGGTAGACCGAGCTGTGGAACACTTGCTGGAGCACTCCAATGGTGTGGAGGACAAGGTACGCTTCACAGTGGAGTGCGGCAGCGACAGGAGGAAGGGCATACATATACGCAACTGGAAGGCAGACAAGCCAATAGATATGTCAATCATGGTCGAACCTGTTATGTTAAATGAAACCCAGGCTGGTAAGTTTGTATACTGCGTCATGAAGAAATTACCATTGAACAAAAAACTAACATGATGTATTCTAACCTTTTCTAACCTGACCTAGTCTAATGTAACCTGACCTAGTCTAATGTAACCTGACCTAGTTTAATGTAACATGACCTAGTCTAATGTAACCTGACCTAGTCTAATGTAACCTGACCTAGTCTAATGTAACCTGACCTAGTCTAATGTAACCTGACCTAGTCTAATGTAACCTGACCTAGTCTAATGTAACCTGACCTAGTCTAATGTAACCTGACCTAGTCTAATGTAGCATGACCTAGTCTAATCTAACCTAACCTATTCTAATCTAGCCTAACGTAACCTATCCTGATCTAATCTATCCTAAGCTAACCTAATCTAGCCAGGCTAGTAAGTTTACTGCATCATGAGGAAATTACCACATAATAGCAAACAATAAACCAAACAACACCTTACTGACAGTCATGAAGCCACTGAACAATGATTTCATGGGTGGCAAGGAGCACACATTAGTTGATAATTCTACCAACATTAATACACAGTTAGTACTACGATTGTCATGCAAAACCTGTGTGTGTTTACCTGGAGTTTACCTGGAGAGAGTTCCGGGGGTCAATGCCCCCGCGGCCCGGTCTGTGACCAGGACTCCCGGTGGATCAGAGCCTGATCAACCAGGCTGTTACTGCTGGCTGCACGCAAACCAACGTACGAGCCACAGCCCGGCTGGTCAGGTACCGACTTTAGGTGGACAAGCACCTGTGGCAATGTTTTGCTCTCCAGGAGCTTTATCAAGCCATTACAGCTTGACAAAGCTCCTGGAGAGTGAAACATTGCCACAATAAAATATCACATTAGTTGTACTTGTGTCCTTTTACCCAACATACGACATTATGTGAAAGATTCAGGCAAATGATCGCAGACTAATTCTTGTATGTTGTTAATAATAATATATTTATTTACTACAAGTACATGTACAAGGTATACAGGCCTAGCTGATACCAATGATATACTACTATGTATATTGAAGGAGGGGTGTTAATGTTGCAGTTTAAAAACTGTAGTGTAAAGCACCCTTCTGGCAAGACAGTGATGGAGTGAATGATGGTGAAAGTTTTTCTTTTTCGGGCCACCCTGCCTTGGTGGGCCACCCTGCCTTGGTGGGAATCGGCCAGTGTGATAATAAATAAATAAAATATTGAAAGCCGCTTATTATGCTGAGCATTTTGTGCAAATTAGGTCAGTTTTGTCCTAGGATGCGACCCACACCAGTCGACTAACACCCAGATACACATTTTAAACTGATAGCTGAACAGGGACAGGGACAGCAGGTGTCATATGGAAACACGTCCCTAATGTTTTCCACCCATACCGGAGGACATTCGAACTCAGGACCTCGGTGTGCAAGCTGAGTGCGCTAGCGATCGCGCTACTGGACATTAGTGGGGAAGTCTTTCTAGGCTTCCCTGGATGTTCTACTAACATCTTCTTTCAACAAAAATGTTGTATCCCGCCTAGGCAGGGCGGCCCAAAAAGAAAAACAAAAGCTTCTCTATTTAAAATTAGTAGTGTATACAGGAGGAGTTACTAGCCCATTGTTCCCAGGATGTTAGTCACCTCTTACAATGTGCATGGCTTATGCAGGAAGAATTCTGTTCCACCTCTACTAACATATTTTTTTTTTTTTTTTTTCAACAAGTTGGCCGTCTCCCACCGAGGCAGGGTGACCCACCGAGGCAGGGTGACCCACCGAGGCAGGGTGACCCACCGAGGCAGGGTGACCCACCGAGGCAGGGTGACCCACCGAGGCAGGGTGACCCAAAAAAGAAAGAAAATCCCCAAAAAGAAAATACTTTCATCATCATTCAACACTTTCACCACACTCACACATTATCACTGCTTTTGCAGAGGTGCTCAGAATACAACAGTTTAGAAGCATATACGTATAAAGATACACAACATATCCCTCCAAACTGCCAATATCCCAAACCACTCCTTTAAAGTGCAGGCATTGTACTTCCCATTTCCAGGACTCAAGTCCGACTATATGAAAATAACCGGTTTCCCTGAATCCCTTCACTAAATATTACCCTGCTCACACTCCAACAGATCGTCAGGTCCCAAGTACCATTCGTCTCCATTCATTCCTATCTAACACGCTCACGCACGCTTGCTGGAAGTCCAAGCCCCTTGCCCACAAAACCTCCTTTACCCCCTCTCTCCAACCCTTTCGAGGACGACCCCTACCCCGCCTTCCTTCCCCTATAGATTTATATGTTTTCCATGTCATTCTACTTTGATCCATTCTCTCTAAATGACCAAACCACCTCAACAACCCCTCTTCTGCCCTCTGGCTAATACTTTTATTAACTCCACACCTTTTCCTAATTTCCACACTCTGAATTTTCTGCATAATATTTACACCACACATTGCCCTTAAACAGGACATCTCCACTGCCTCCAACCGTCTCCTCGCTGCTGCATTTACCACCCAAACTTCACACCCATATAAGAGTGTTGGTACTACTATACTTTCATACATTCCCTTCTTTGCCTCCATAGATAACGTTTTTTTGACTCCACATATACCTCAACGCACCACTCGCCTTTTTTCCCTCATCAATTCTATGATTAACCTCATCCTTCAGAAATCCATCCGCCGACACGTCAACTCCCAAGTATCTGAAAACATTCACTTCTTCCATACTCCTCCTCCCCAATTTGATATCCAATTTTTCTTTATCTAAAAGTCATTTGACACCCTCATCACCTTACTCTTTTCTATGTTCACTTTCATCTTTCTACCTTTACACACATTCCCAAACTCATCCACTAACCTTTGCAATTTTTCTTTAGAATCTCCCATAAGCACAGTATCATCAGCAAAAAGTAACTGTGTCAATTCCCATTTTGAATTTGATTCCCCAAAATTTAATACCACCCCTCTCCCGAACACCCTAGCATTTACTTCCTTTACAACCCCATCTATAAATATATTAAACAACCATGGTGACATTACACATCCCTGTCTAAGACCTACTTTTACCGGGAAGTATTCTCCCTCTCTTCTACACACCCTAACCTGAGCCTCACTATCCTCATAAAAACTCTTTACAGCATTTAATAACTTACCACCTATTCCATATACTTGCAACATCTGCCACATTGCTCCTCTATCCACTCTATCATATGCCTTTTCTAAATCCATAAATGCAATAAAAACTTCCCTACCTTTATCTAAATACTGTTCACATATATGCTTCAATGTAAACACTTGATCTACACATCCCCTACCCACTCTGAAGCCTCCTTGCTCATCCGCAATCCTACATTCTGTCTTACCTCTAATTCTTTCAATTATAACCCTACCGTACACTTTTCCTGGTATACTCAGTAAACTTATTCCTCTATAATTTTTACAGTCTCTCTTGTCCCCTTTCCCTTTATATAAAGGGACTATACATGCTCTCCGCCAATCCCTAGGTACCTTCCCCTCTTTCATACATTTATTAAAGAAAAGTACCAACCACTCCAACACTATATCCCCCCCTGCTTTTAACATTTCTGTCATGATCCCATCAGTTCCAGCTGCTTTACCCCCTTTCATTTTACGTAATGCCTCACGTACCTCCCCCACACTTACATTCTGCTCTTCTTCACTCCTAAAAGATGATATACCTCCCTGACCAGTGCATGAAATTACTGCCTCTGTTTCTTCCTTAACATTTAAAAGTTCCTCAAAATATTCTCGCCATCTACCCAATACCTCCATCTCCCCATCTACTAACTCCCCTACTCTGTTTTTAACTGACAAATCCATACTTTCCCTAGGCTTTCTTAACTTGTTTAACTCACTCCAAATTTTTTTCTTATTTTCATATTAACATATACAAATAAATTACCAGATTTTCTGGTGTATGAGGCAGTTCCCCCCCCCCTCTCCCTAAGAAAAAAAAAAGTCTTGGGAAATCATCTGTGCTTTATTTGCTCAAGGTAAAGAGTGCCCTGGTGCTAGTCAAAGGTTCTTGATCCAAGGAATTGAAGCTACCCTCTTGGATACAACATAATTGCCTCCCATTTCCCTGGCTCTGTGTGACCCTTTTGGGGTTAGCACCCTCCTCCCCAATATGGACACAACATAAGCTTTCCTGTACTCTACTTTCCACCCCAGAATCCCTTAATGAATATTGGCTCGCTCACATTCCATTATTAAATCCCTAAATTTCAAGTAAATTTGTCCAATATTTTCTTTCCTTCAGATCCTAATGAGAAGTTGGCATTTTGTATGGAGTTGGTGATGACTTGCGACGCTCCCTGGGTCAAGGCACCGACCTGCTTACAGATGTCATACACTGTGAGATCCTTCCAGGTAAGGCAGTCTGCTGAATGTTACCTTAAAGTTATACTCTAATTTAACCCTTTCATCATATGTCAGGTAGCTGCTGCTACTTCAATTATAGTAGCACTTTAATCCTTTTGGTATGTCAGGTAAGTTGCTACTTCTTCAATTATAGTAGCACTTTAATCCTTTTGGTATGTCAGGTAGCTGCTACTTCTTCAATTATAGTAGCACTTTAATCCTTTCGGTATGTCAGGTAGCTGCTACTTCTTCAATTATAGTAGCACTTTAATCCTTTCGGTATGTCAGGTAGCTGCTACTTCTTCAATTATAGTAGCACTTTAATCCTTTCGGTATGTCAGGTAAGTTGCTACTTCTTCAATTATAGTAGCACTTTAATCCTTTCGGTATGTCAGGTAGCTGCTACTTCTTCAATTATAGTAGCACTTTAATCCTTTCGGTATGTCAGGTAGCTGCTACTTCTTCAATTATAGTAGCACTTTAATCCTTTCGGTATGTCAGGTAAGTTGCTACTTGTTAGTAACAGTAACGCCTTAATTTAACCCTTTCACTGTATGTCACAAAGTTGCTACTTGTTCAGTAACGCCTTAATTTAACCCTTACGCTGTCCTCCATCACATAGAACTGCATCATTGAGGCCAGGGGTCCCTCACGCAGTGGTGGACCTACATTTTTAGGGCCCTCAAGCTTGAACTGTTATGGGGTCACCATGGCAACCAACAGTGGCTAGGCTTACATGATAATTTAATAACCTTTTAATTTTTATTTTGACTATTGTTTACTATTGAATTACACTATATTATTATTTTTTAAAAACTTCTTCTCATGCAGTATACCCAAAATTTTTAAGCAATATGGACTAGTCGCTTTTGGGGCCCCTCCGGGATTAGGGGCCCTCAAGGTTAAGCTTCATTAATTTCATATTAGATCTACCCCTGTGGTGAGTGTGTATACCTGGAGTATACCTGGAGAGGGTTTCGGGGGTCAACGCCTCCGCGGCCCTATATAAAAAAAAAATCCTCCCCTTGACGGAGGTTCCTTGATGCTGGTGAGGGGTTCTTGCTTTAGGGAATTGGATCTGTGCTCCAATTCTCTGACTAGATTTTGAATACTGTATCTCCTTATCCCCCTCTTTCCTATAGGCACTGTATAATCCCTATGGGTTTAGCACTCCCCATGATTATAATATAAAAAAAAATTCTACCCCACATGTTGCATGATGGGAAATAAAAACTGACCTTGTGTATGGTTTAAAATAGTGACTTTGAGGTTTTTTTTCCGATTTTTTTTATGGTTTTATTGGCTGTTTCTTGGTATTGTTTGATAGAATGGAAAACACACTGCAGAAATTTAGATGATTTTGATTGGTTTGAGGAATGGAAGTAGCTTGAAATTGACCTTTAAACATCGGAAATATTAGATTTTTGTGGATATTCCAGAGGATGGGTAGGGCCTCCCTACAACCCCCAGTCCATTTTATGGGTTTTTTTTCAATAAGTCTGACTCAATTATTGGGATGCTGTAAACCATGACCAATCATTCCTGGTTATATTTTATTATCCGAGAAACAGAGGAAATCTTTTATTTTTGTGTGATTAAGAATTCAAAATGGAAGGCAAGTGCAGTATAGGAGAAGCTGGGGATGTGACTAATAAACAAAGGAAACGTTGGTATTTTTTAATTTCGTGTAAAATTTGCCAAATTACTGACTTCTGTACACGTTATAGTGTAGTTAATGTAGTTGCTACCAACATTTAGTAATTTACACAGGAAAAGGTGTTACCAGCACCTTGCTGCCAGCATTTTAGTCACCTCCAATAACAAGTATGGCTTATGGAGGAAGGAGTCTAACCCACATCCCCCATAGTTTTTTAGTCATGTTTTTTTTTTTTTTTTTTTTTTTTTTTTTTTTTTTTTTTATCATCACACTGGCCGATTCCCACCAAGGCAGGGTGGCCCGAAAAAGAAAAACTTTCACCATCATTCACTGCCAGAAGGGTGCTTTACACTACAGTTTTTAAACTGCAACATTAACACCCCTCCTTCAGAGTACAGGCACTGTACTTCCCATCTCCAGGACTCAAGTCCGGCCTGCCGGTTTCCCTGAACCCCTTCATAAATGTTACTTTGCTCACACTCCAACAGCACGTCAAGTATTAAAAACCATTTGTCTCCATTCACTCCTATCAACACGCTCACACATGCATGCTGGAAGTCCAAGCCCTCGCACACAAAACCTCCTTTACCCCCTCCCTCCAACCTTTTCCCAGGCCGACCCCTACCCCGCCTTCCCTTTCCACTACAGATTGATACACTCTTGAAGTCACTCTGTTTTACTCCATTCTCTCTACATGTCCGAAAACCCCCTCAACAAACCCTTCCTCAGCCCTCTGGACAACAGTTTTTGGTAATCCCCACCCCCTCCTAAAATTCCAAACTAAAGAATTCTCTGCATTATATTCCACACCACACATTGGCCTCAGACATGACATCTCCACTGCCCCAGCCTTCTCCTCGCTGCAACATTCTCACCCATGCTTCACACCCATATAAGAGCGTTGGTAAAGCTATACTCTCATACATTCCCCTCTTTGTCTCCAAGGACAAAGTTTTTTGTCTCCACAGACTCCTAAGTGCACCACTCCACCCTTTCCCCTCATCAATTCTATGATTCACCTCATCTTTCATAGACCCATCCGCTGACACGTCCACCCCCCAAATATCTGAAATACATTCACCTCCTCCATTTTTCTCTCCCCCCAAACTGATATCCAATCTTTCATCACCTAATCTTTTTGTTATCCTCATAACCTTACTCTTTCCTGTATTCACTTTTAATTTTCTTCTTTTGCACACCCTACCAAATTCATCCACCAATCTCTGCAACTTCTCTTCAGAATCTGCCAAGAGCACAGTGTCATCAGCAAAGAGCAACTGTGACAACTCCCACTTTGTGTGATTCTTTGTCTTTTAACTCCACGCCTCTTGCCAAGACCCTCGCATTTACTTCTCTTACAACCCCATCTATAAATACAGTGGACCCCCGCATAGCGATATTAATCCGTGCAAGAGAGCTCATTGTTATGCGAAATTATCGTTATGCGAATGAATTTTCCCCATAAGAAATAATGGAAATCAAATTAATCCGTGCAAGACACCCAAAAGTATGAAAAAAATATTTTACCACATGAAATATACATTTTCCTACACACAAAGAGAAGGATACATGCACAATAGTAGAGTAGTACATGCACAGTATATATGTGCAGTATAGTCTACTAAATTTAAGAATAAAAGACACTTACCTTTATTGAAGATGCAGCAATGACTGATGAGACACTGTGTCCTGGGGGGTGCCTTTTCCTTGATACTGTAGGCCCCTTTTTGGGATTTTCTTCCAGAACAGGCCCCCTTTCACACTGGTATGCCCCTTCGATTTTTAAATCTCTCAAACCAACCTTTTCTGGCTTTAAATTCACCAAATTTAGCACTGCCCGGGGATTTTTTCCCTGTTCACCTGGGGGTTGTCGCTGGTGGGTTGGGATCCCTGGGAGACAAGATTAAGGACCCCAATGGAAATAAGTTAGACAGCTTCGGACACTGACTTTTTTGGGGTTATCCTGGGGAGCAAATCCTCTGGGGGTTTAAATTTTTTCTTGGGATTCCAAAAAGCCACACCAACAACGTGCACAGCAGCAGCAGCTGACGTGCTAAAAGCAGCAGCGCACGACATCTCAGCAGCCGCAGCTGACAGTGCTACAGCGCACAGCAGCTGACAGTGCACAGCAGCAGCAGCCGACAGTGCTACAGCAGCAGCACAGCTGACAGTGCTAAGCAGCAGCGACGTCTACAGCAGCACTGACATGCTACAGCACAGCAGCGATGCTACAGCGCAGCAACGGTACTACAGCAGCAGCACGCAGACTTTCAAACAGCAGCATACATACTCTAACCCCCCCCCCCCCCCCCCCCCCCCCCCCCCCCCCCCCCCCCCCCCCCCCCCCCCCCCCCCCCCCTTTTTTTTTTTTTTTTTTTTTTTTTTTTTTTTTTTTTTTTTTTTTTTTTTTTTTTTTTTTCTAAAGCCTCCTTGTTCATCTGCTATCCTATTCTCCGTCTTACTCTTAATTCTTTCAATAATAACTCTACCATACACTTTACCAGGTATACTCAACAGACTTATCCCCCTATAATTTTTGCACTCTCTTTTGTCCCCTTTGCCTTTATACAAAGGAACTATGCATGCTCTCTGCCAATCCCTAGGTACCTTACCCTCTTCCATACATTTATTAAATAATAGCACCAACCACTCCAAAACTATATCCCCACCTGCTTTTAACATTTCTGTCTTTATCCCATCAAACCCAGCTGCCTTACCCTCTCTCATTTTACCTACTGCCTCTCGAACTTCCCCCACACTCACAACTGGCATGTTGTGTATCTTTATACATATATACTTCTAAACTGTTGTATTCTGAGCACCTCTGCAAAAACAGTGATAATGTGTGAGTGTGGTGAAAGTGTTGAATGATGATGAAAGTATTTTCTTTTTGGGGATTTTCTTTCTTTTTTGGGTCACCCTGCCTCGGTGGGTCACCCTGTCTTGGTGGGAGACGGCCGACTTATTGAAAAAAAAAAACTATTATTTATTATTATATAGTTATTTATGATTGTGATTATTTATGATTTTTAATGTTGTCGCTGAAATGTTGAAATATGCGTTAAAAAATATTTTAGCAAGTTTTTCTTAATTTTTAAATATATTGCATATTTTAAAAAAATAACATGTACAATAAAATCTGAGATATGGTATTATGACGGTAAAATAATGTATTTTTAGCCAAAATCTTTTAATTTCAGTTGAGCATAGACCCTCGTGGGTTGGAGCGCGGCCGTGTGTACTTCACCTCATTGAAGGCCTATAACTCCAGTAATGTAAAGAAAGGCATCATGTTTGAGGTGCCTATCACCATTGTGGTACCTACTGTAGATTTCCTCCACGGTTATCTTTATTCCTGGTAAGTATATCTGCTTTCTCTTGTCATCGATTTTCTTTTATCTTAACCCTTTGACTGTCGCAACCCCCAATCCTGAGGTGTCTCCTGGTGTCACAAAATTTCAAAAAAAAAAAAAAAATTTTTTCTTATGAAATGATAGAGAATCTTTTCCCGGTTGTAAAGACACCAAAAAAACGAAATTTGATGGAAAACTGACGGAATTACGCTCTCGCGAAGTTAGCAACCTTGGCGATATTTACAAATTGGCTATTTCGCCCACTTTGAGCCCTATTTTCGGCTAATTCCATTATTCCAGTCAACCAAACTCATAGCTATTTCTTCAGAACTCCATTTTTTCCATCGATTGAGTACAAGAAACTGCCCATTTACCGATTTCAACTACCCAATAACATGGTCAGAAATTTGCAATTTGGCCAGTTTCACGAAAATTAAAAAATATGACAATTTAAAAATAAGGTCCAGAATGAACAATGCAGACATTCCTGGCTCTAAAATAACATTTTCTTTGTTCATCAGTCATGTCTCCAGGCCCCTCTGATATTACTCTTGCTTTCTATTTTGAAATTTTATTCAAACAAAAAATAGAATTTTACTGTTATGCAGACTACTGCAATACTGTAATAATTGTATAAATAACATCAACCCATTCGTGACTGCATATTAGAATGGCTAGTTGGACATTTATTGGACAATGACATCATTTGTTTACTTTTGAACAGCGGCAAAAATCAAATATTTCCCGTACTTTGTGCTCCATTTCTAGGTTCTTTTTATAGTAAAATTAATCAAAATCACCTCTGTTTCTATAATATGTTTTCCATTCTATCAAATGAGACCAAGAAAACGAGAATACAACCATAAATACTATACGAAAATAGACCACAAAGTCGGCATTTTAACCCTTTGACTGTTTTCGACGTATAAATACGTCTTACGAGCCAATGTTTCTGACGTTTATATACTCAATAATTCTAGCGGCTTCAAATCAAGTGGGAGAAAGCTGGTAGGCCCACATGTGAGAGAATGGGTCTGTGTGGTCAGTGTGCACCACATAAAAAAAATCCTGCAGCACACATTGCGTAATGAGAAAAAAAAAACTGATCGTTTTTTTGGAATAAAACGCCGACTTTGAGGTGTTTTTTCGTATAGTATTTATCATTGTATTCGCGTTTCATGGTCTTAGGTGATAAAATGGAAAACATATTACAGAAATAGAGATGATTTTCATTACTTTTACGATGAAAACGACCTTGAAACTGAGCTCAAAGTAGCGGAAATGTTCGATTTTTACCATTGTTCAAGAGTAAATAAATCACACCACACGTCCAATACACGTCAACTGGGGAGTCTAATATTCTTTCACTAGTGCACTGATATTATTTATACCATTTTTACAATAATGCAGTCGTCTGCATAACAGTAAATTTTGTATTTTTTTGTATGAATAAAAAATAAAAATAGAAAGCAATAATAATATAAGAGGGGCCTAGAGATGTGACTAATGAACAGAGCATATGTTATTTTAGTGCCACGAATGTCTACCTTGTTTATTCTGGACCCTATTTTGAAATTGGCATCTTTTTTATTTTGCGTGAAATTGGCCAAATTGCCAATTTCTGACCACCATATTGGGTAGTCCAAATTAGTAAATGGGAGGTTTCTTGTACTCAGCTGATAGATAAAATGGAGTTCTAAAGAAATAGCTATGAGTTTGGTCAACTGGAACAATGGAATTGGCTGAAAATAGGGCTCAAAGTTGGCGAAATCGCCGATACGCATATGTCGCCGAGACCGCTAACTTCGCGGGAGCATAATTCCACGAGTTTTCGGCCAAATTTCGAACTTTTGGTGTCATTACCATCGGGAAAAGATTCTCTATCATTTCATAAGAAAAAATCATTTTTTTTTTCAAAAATTGAGCGACATAGAATGACAGTTTCAGAGAGGGGCCTGAAACAGTCAAAGGGTTAATTAAAAAAAACGGTCGGAGTTTTTTTTTTCTCATTATGCACTGCGTGCTCCAGGATTTTTTTTTATGTGGTGCACACTGACCACACAGACCCATTCTCTCACATGTGGGCCTACCAGCTTTCTCCTGCCTGATTTGAAGCCGCTAGAATTTATGAGCATATATAAGTCAAACACGGTACCTCGTAAACGTATATATACGGCCGCGACAGTCAAAGGGTTAAAGAACAAAGGCACAATTCTGTGACTGGAACAATTCATAAATAACTTGCATGTAAAAGAGAGGACCTTATGATGATGTTTGTCCAACTTGGGCCTTTAAGAACATAAGAAAGGAGGAACACTGCAGCAGGCCTGTTGGCCCATACTAGGCAGGTCCTTTACAATTCATCCCACTAACAAAACATTTGCCCAACCCAATTTTCAATGCTACCCAAGAAATAAGCTCTGATGTGCAAGTCCCACTCAAATCCAACCTAAATTTGAAACTACCCAAAGTCCCAGCCTCAATAACCCAACTAGGTAGACTGTTCCACTCATCAACTACCCTATTTCCAAACCAATACTTTCCTGTGCCCTTTCTAAATCTAAACTTATCTAATTTAAATCCATTACTGTGGGTTCTCTCTTGGAGAGATATCCTCAAGACCTTATTAATATCCCCTTTATTAATACCTATCTTCCACTTATACACTTCGATCAGGTCTCCCCTCATTCTTCATCTAACAAGTGAATGTAACTTAAGAGTCTTCAATCTTTCTTCATAAGGAAGATTTCTAATGCTATGTATTAATTTAGTCATCCTACGCTGAATGTTTTCTAACGAATTTATGTCCATTCTGTAATATGGAGACCAGAACTGAGCTGCATAATCTAGGTGAGGCCTTACTAATGATGTATAAAGCTGTAATATAACCTCTGGACTTCTGTTGCTTACACTTCTTGATATAAATCCCAGTAATCTATTTGCGTTATTACGTACGCTTAGGCATTGCTGTCTTGGTTTAAGGTTGCTGCTTACCATAACCCCCAAGTCCTTTTTGCAATCTGTATGGCTAAGTTCTGCATTATTTAACTTATAAATGCTAGGGTTATGGACACTTTAATGTGCGGGATGTTTGTGTATTGTTCCAGTCGCTACATTATGATTTTTGATACACTAAAACATTATTTTTACCTTTTTTTGATCAAATATTTTTTTTTCAGCCTGGTCGAGGTGTTTTGTTCAGCGCCGCTTCCTCTACATATCAATACACAAGCCAAAAAACAATATTTTTACATATTTTCTGACCATATTTTTTTTTTCAGTCCGGCTGAAGTGTTTCGTGCGGGTTTCGTTCGGCGGCACTTCCTGTATGTGCCGATTGAGTCAACGTGGGTGAACGTGACACTCAAGGCCTCGCACTCGGACAAGTGTCAGAGGTTCACCCTCCACGCTGTCCAACTCAAACCAAAGTGTAGCGTCAAAACTCTAGAATATTATAAGGTGAGTCCAGAGGAATGCTGGCAGAAATAGTCTGGTGGACCAAGGGGACATTGGCAGCAATGGTCTGGTGGACCAGGGGGACGCCGGCAGCAACGGTCTGGTAGACCAGGGGGACACTGGCAGGAACGGTCTGGTGGACCAGGGGGACACTGGCAGCAACCCTCTGGTGGACCAGGAGGATGCTGGCAGCAGCACTCTGGTGGACCAGGGGGATGCTGGCAGCAACGGTCTGGTGGACCAGGAGGATGCAGGCAGCAGCACTCTGGTGGACCAGGGGGACGCTGGCAGCAGCACACTGGTGGACCAGGGGGACGCTGGCAGCAGCACTGGTGGACCAGGGGGACGCTGGCAGCAGCACTCTGGTGGACCAGGGGGACGCTGGCAGCAGCACTCTGGTGGACCAGGGGGACGCTGGCAGCAGCACTCTGGTGGACCAGGGGGGCGCTGGCAGCAGCACACTGGTGGACCAGGGGGACGCTGGCAGCAGCACTCTGGTGGACCAGGGGGACGCTGGCAGCAGCACTCTGGTGGACCAGGGGGGCGCTGGCAGCAGCACACTGGTGGACCAGGGGGACGCTGGCAGCAGCACTCTGGTGGACCAGGGGGACGCTGGCAGCAGCACTCTGGTGGACCAGGGGGACGCTAGCAGCAGCACACTGGGGGACCAGGGGGACGCTGGCAGCAGCACTCTGGTGGACCAGGAGGATGCTGGCAGCAGCACTCTAGGGGACCAGGGGGACGCTGGCAGCAGCACTCTGGTGGACCAGGGGGACGCTGGCAGCAACAACAACCTTTCAAATTCAGATACAGTAGTCCTCGCTGGTAACCACAGGGAATATGTTCCAAGACTTACCATGGATAGTAGCGAACCCTATATTTAAGTTGTTTTTTGTTTACATACATACCCATGATAGTTTAATTGATTAATTATACACAATAAGTGGAAAATTAACTTTTTTTCACTGATGGGAAGTACTTCACTGCTTCTCTTAGGCTTTGAAAAACTGTCACCACCCCTACTTCTGTGCTTTGAGGCCATTATTAAGCAAAATTAAGGTTTATTTTCAGGCCATGGTAAACCATGGATAACTGAAAAATTGGAAACCAAACCCGTGGATACGGGAGTTCTGCTATACTCGCTTCTTTGATGCAGTGTACGGATAATGTTTGTTGTTGTTGTTGTTGTTGTTATTATTATTATTATTATTATTATTATTATTATTATTATTATTATTATTATTATTAACACACTGGCCGTTTCCCACCAAGGCAGGGTGGCCCACCAAGGCAGGGTGGACCACCAAGGCAGGGTGGCCCGAAAAAGAAAAACTTTCACCATCATTCACTCCATCACTGTCTTGCCAGAAGGGTGCTTTACACTACAGTTTTTAAACTGCATTTTATTACGTTATTACATTTTATTACATGTTTACATGTAATAAAATATTGCTAGGCGTGTAAAGTCACTAGCATGCTGTCCATGCTATTCATCTTAAGACCAGTTGTGTTTCTAGTGTTTCAGCTTAGCAGTTGTGTTGCTGGCCCAGTCTTAGACCAGGCCTCATAGGTTGAAAAACATTTTCTTTTTTCAATGCCTTGGCAGCCTCCTCTGAGGCAGGTTGACCCGTAAAAGAAAATGCAGTCGCCATTATTCATCCAGTCGCCATCTTTTGGATGTACACTGGTAGCACAGTACTTGCTCGTGTCGTTGAAAAGTAATAGTGGCAAGATTTGCTGCATTAATTTTGATCAAGTTGAATTTTAGTAATTTGTTTAGTGTTGCAAATATCTTGTGAAATGTTAGTGTGAAAGTGTTGTGAATCATTATATTCTATCATTAAAATATTGATTTGTTTCAGGTCATTAATCTAGGCTGTAACGAAGTTAGTACACAAATATTTGGTGTGCGAGGTGGCTACACCATGGAACTCTGTCTGGCCCGCTGGTGGTCAAGTCTGGTGGACGGACAAGTTGAAGTTACTGTTGAGTTCCATAGTCTTCGACCATCGCAAGAAGAGGTATGTTGCTATGTGGGGTCGGGTTGGGTATGAATTTCTATTTTGAACACAACGGCTGCCTCCCACAAACAAATTCTTGCATAGGGCAAGTCAGACATGAGGGATGTCGAAGTGTTTTGTGCTTTGTGTTGTGTCCGTGTGCTCTGTTGTACATATCATGGACGGATTTCAGGGAAGGTTTATATTGGAGTTTAACCTGTAAATGGTCCAAGCAGATTACGTTCACATGTGTAGTGCTACAGAAGTAGATCAAAGTTTTTTTACACATTTTCAAATGTAGAAAAACAAAAAGAAGATCTACTTTTTTTTACATTCAAATATTGAAAAAACGTATATATACGTTTGGACCGTTTACGGGTTAGTGTTTTCTATATATTTTTTCAACGCATCGGCCGTCTCCCACTGAGGCAGGATGACCTAAATAGAAAGAAAGCACTTTCACCGTCATTCACGCATAATCACTGTCTTTGCAGAGGTGCTCAGATATGACAGTTTAGATGTCATTCCAAACAGCCAATATTCCAAACCTCTCTTTTAATGTACGTTAGCGTAGCTTCAGATGTTGGTTAGACAAATAAGAGAGGGTTTTATTGAATGGGACTTGCATGTGAGTTAACAGGGTTATTGAGCCTTATCCTTTGGGTAATATTGAAAATGGGTTGAGCAAATATATTTTTGTTAGTGGGTTTGAGAAGGACCTGCCTAGTATGGGCCAGTAGGGCTGCTGCAGTGTTCTTCCTTTCTTATGGATGCAGAACATACAAAAAATTAGAAGTTAGGTAAAAGGACAAATGTAAATATCAGTATACAAATAACCCGCACATAGAGAGCTTATTGACAACATTTCAATCCGACGTGAACGATTAACTAGTCACACTAAACACATGAAGGTGAGGGAGTCGGTATGTGTTAGTGCAGGGGCAGCCACCTTGTGGTGCATTGCATGATTAGAAGTGGCACAGTGCACCCCAGTGATATTATTAGAATCATAACCAAGCACTAAGCCAAAAGGGTCATACAGTGGTGTACACCCCAGTGACAATAATGAAAAAAGCAAGCCTACTCATACATAAAATACAGTAAGTCCGTGACTTACAAACGCACCGAGAATCTTCTGTATTGTGTATATCATTACGTATTATATCATTACTGCACATGATATCATTATCATACACAACATAGGTTTCCAATATACTCGTAAGTTGAAGACTTTCTATGTATATTTAAATATACATTTAGTAGAATGACTTGGAGAGCGTATAAATCTGTAGGGGAAGGAAGGCGGGATAGGGGTCGTCCTCGAAAAGGTTGGAGGGAGGGGGTAAAAGAGGTTTTGTGGGCGAGGGGCTTGAACTTCCAGTAAGCGTGCGTGAGCGTGTTAGGAGTGAATGGAGACGAGTGGCTTTTGGGACCTGACGAACTGTTGGAGTGTGAGCAGGGTAATATTTAGTGAAGGGATTCAGGGAAACCAGTTAGCCAGACTTGGGTCCTGGAAATGGGAAGTACAATGCCTGCACTTTAAAGGAGGGGTTTGGGATATTGGCAGTTTGTAGGGATATCTAAACTGCCATATCTGGGCGTCTCTGTTAAGACAGTGATTATATATGAATGATGGTGAAGTTGTTGAATAATAGTTTTTTTTTTTTTTTCCTTTTTGTATTTTTTTTTCTTTTTGGGTCGCCCTGCTTCAGTGGGAAATGGCCGATGTGTTAAAAACAAAAAAGTACGTTTATATAAAACATACATAATACACCTACCATCCGACTCACGACCGAGTTCGGTTCCAAGAAACCGGTCGTAAGTCGATATGGTCGTAAGTCGAACTTTACTACTGAATATCAACAAAACATTTTTGTAATGACTTTATTTTATTGTTTTATTTTGGTATTTCATGTTTTACTTTACTTTTTATGTTGTTAGTACTGTGTTTTATACTGTAAGGTTTAGGATAAACACTGTGTACAACACAAATACTTGTTTATTTCCCAGAAATTTGGCATAAAAAACATGGTCGTAAATCCAGTGGTGGTAAGTCGAGCAGGTCGTAAGTTGGATGGTAGGTGTATTTCAAATGCAAATGAGTGTTTTTGTGGTGCAGGTGACGTTATTCAGCAGTGACGGGGTACAGAGGGTGGACGTACGGGCTGGCCTGCGTCCCGAGGAGATGTCTGCACAGGCAACGCTCAAGCACCACACCCAGGTATTGTTCCTTCTTCTACCACATAATAATAATAATAATAATTGTAATAACAGTAATAATAACTAATAATAATTGTTATAATAATTGTAATAATAATAATAGTATTAATTATAATAATTTTAATAATAGTGACAATAATAGTAATAATAATAGTAATAATAATACAGTAATAATAATAGTAATGTAACAATAATAATAATAAACTATTGTATATTATCAGAAAACTCTAAACCCGTATGGGTGGTATAGTCGAGGCTGGTGATGGCTAGAGTAAAGGCTTTTGATCCAAGGAATAGGAGAGTGTGTTATACCTTGCTGCCTCTCATTTCCTGGTCCGCTCTAATCCCTGTGGGTTTAGTGCTTTCCCTTAGTAATGACGGTAATTATAATGCAGTAATTGTAGCAGTATAATACAGTGGACCCCCGACATTCGATAAATCTGACATTCGATGCATTTTAAAGCAAAATTTTTGCCTCGACATTCGATGGAAAACCCGACATTCGATACGATTCGTACGAGACGTGTCCACGTGTGGCCTGAACTGCCCAGTGTTTACAAGCCAGCCAGTGTGCGCGCATCTAAGGATACATTCGGTACATTCCATATTATCCATATTATCACTGATTTTGGTGCTTGTTTCTGCAAAATAAGTAACCATGGGCCCCAAGAAAGCTTCTAGTGCCAACCCTTCGAGAAAAAAGGTGCTAATGACTATTGAAATGAAGAAAGATAATTGCAAAGTACGAAAGTGGAGTGCGTGTGTCGGAGTGCATGATGATTTGGTAAAGAAATTGCCTGCAACTAGTGGTGATGTGAGTGAAGTTAAGGCCAGCAAAGGTTGGTTTGAAAGATTTAAGAATCGTAGTGGCATACACAGTGTGGTAAGGCATGGTGAGGCTGCCAATTCAAGTCCTAATGGAGGGGGCTTCCCCTTCTAAACAATAGATTCAACACACTCCCCTCCTCCCATCCCATCAAGCATCACCAGATCTTCATTAAAGGTAAGTGTCAATTATTCTATTGTTATTGTTGTTATTGTAATTATTCTATTGCATTAAACTTAATATTTCATGTGGTAAATTTTTTTTTTCATACTTTTGGGTGTCTTGCATGGATTAATTTGATTTCCATTATTTCTTAAGGGTAAAATTAATTCGATTTTCGATATTTTCGACATTCAATAAATTACAAAATTTCTGGGTTCGAAATGATTAAGTTTGTCACAGTAATACGGTGCTGTACTTCGTTCATTTCTTTTAAAATATGAACAAATTAATGAAATGCAGTTCTGTATTGCATTAACCAAGCTGTAGTGGGTGCGGGTGGGCCAGCAGGCTGCTAGTAGCAACAGACTGGTTGAACAGGCATTCGGTAGGCCTAGGGCAATATTTTTTGTATCCACAGTGAACACAGTAATTTTTGTATCCAAAAACAATACAGTAATTTTTGTATCGACAAAGGATACAGTATTGTATCCACAGGCAATACAGTATTGTAAGCACAAACAGTTCAGTATTGTATGTACAAACAATACAGTATTGTATTCACAAAGAATGCAGTATTGTATTCACAAAGAATGCGGTATTGTATCCACAAAGAATACAGTATTGTATCCACAAAGAATATAGTATTGTATCTACAAAGAATACAGTGTTGTTTCACAGAGAATACAGTATTGTATCCACAAAGAATACAGTAAACTTTTCCTTTCAGGTGTTGACACCAGCGGAAAGTAAAGTTGAAGTGTTGGGCGGACCACGGGACACAATACCTGGGTGTCGACCCATATACCAGCTAGTGTTGTCCTACAATCTCTCCGTGTCCAAATCAGCTGAGGTGGGTTCGTTTTTTCTCCTATTTAGACGTCTTTCCATTAGTGCTCATTACGTGGGTTCCTATTAACGCTTTCGGCGTCGGTCACATTATGTTATGGCTTTGAAGTCAGTGTCGGTCCCATAGTACGACGGCACGAGCTCGGCTCTTTCAGATAAGCTGTGAGCGGTAAATTTGGGCCTAGATATGAGAGAATGGGTCTATGTAGTAAGTGTACACCATATAAAAGGAATCCTGCAGCACACACTGCATATTGAGGAAAAAACTGTGACAGCAGCAGCAGCCTGGTTGACCAAGCAAATACCAGACGAGCCTGGCCTATGGCCGGGCTCAGAGAGTAGAGAAACTCTCAAAACTCTTCAAAGGTATATCAAAGGTGTGTTTCTGGTTTAAAACTGTGACTTTCCAGTGTATTTTTGTATGGTTTCAGTGGTTGTAGTCTCGTTTCCTTTGTCTCGTTTGATAGAATGAAAGATATATTACAGAAATAGAGATGATTTTTATTGGTTTCAGGACTGAAAGTAGCTTAAAATAGAGCTCAAAGTAGCGGAAATATTCGATTTTTGCAGATATTCCAGAGTGCACTTGTCTAGTATGTGTCCAACTGGCCAGTCTAATATGCATTTAGGCATGCACCGACATTATTTATACAATTATTACAATAATGCAGTAGTCTGCATAGCAGTGAATCTATTTTTTGTGAATAAAAATTTGAAATGGAAAGCAAGAATAATATAAGAGAGGCTCGGAGATGTGACTAACAAGAAATGTTTATTTGGTGCCAGGAATGTCTACGAAATTGCTGATGCACAGATATTGCTGAAATCGCTAACTTAAGAGAGAGAAATTCTGTAGGTTTTCCATCAAATTTTGTATTTTTGGTTTCATTACATTCAGAAAAACATTACCATTTCATTAGTTTTTTTCTTTTTTTTTTTTTTTTTTTTTTTTAAATTTTGCGTCTGAGAGCAGGGTTCGCGACCCTTAAAGGGTTAATGCCCATTGCACAAGTTCCCATTACAAATGCTCAAGTTCTTGCATGCTTTCATGGGTTTCCATTACAAATGTTGCAGTTGCTGTATACTTTAGTATCCTTGCTCTCATCTATACACAAGAGCCCGGGTTCTACAGCTGTTGCATTCCCGTCCTTGTTTTTTTTTTTTTCAACAAGTCGGCCATCTCCCACCGAGGCAGGGTGACCCAAAGAGAAAAAAAATCCCCAAAAAGAAAATACTTTCATCATCATCATTCAACACTTTCACCACACTCACACATAATCACTGTTTTTGCAGAGGTGCTCAGAACACAACAGTTTAGAAGCATATACGTATAAAGATACACAACATATCCCTCCAAACTGCCAATATCCCAAACCCCTCCTTTAAACTGCAGTTAACATTGTACTTCCCATTTCCAGGACTCAAGTCCGGCTATATAAAAATAACCTGTTTCCCTGAATCCCTTCACTAAATATTACCCTGCTCACACTCCAACAGCTCGTCAGGTCCCAAATACCATTTGTCTCCATTCACTCCTATCTAACACGCTCACGCACGCTTCCTGGAAGTCCAAACCCCTCGCCCACAAAACCTCCTTTACCCCCTCTCTCCAACCTTTTCGAGGACGACCCCTACCCCGTCTTCCTTCCCCTACAGATTTATACGCTCTCCATGTCATTCTACTTTGATCCATTCTCTCTAAATGACCAAACCACCTCAACAACCCCTCTTCTGCCCTCTGACTAATGCTTTTATTAACTCCACACCTTCTCCTAATTTCCACACTCTGAATTTTCTGCATAATATTTACACCACACATTGCCCTTAGACAGGACATCTCCACTGCCTCCAACCGTCTCCTCGCTGCTGCATTTACCACCCAAGCTTCACATCCATATAAGAGTGTTGGTACTACTATACTTTCATACATTCCCTTCTTTGCCTCCATAGATAACGTTTTTTGACTCCACATATACCTCAACGCACCACTCACCTTTTTTCCCTCATCAATTCTATGATTAACCTCATCCTTCATAAATCCCGTCCCTGATGATATGAGAAAATCGCCGTCAAGTGGAAAAGAGCATTTTTCTCTGGCATTGAATGCATCTAAAATGCCCGATAACGTTTTTACTCTTATATATTAAGTGCTCAATACAGCTAGGCATAAAAAAAAAGATAGAAAAATAAAGTAAATACACAGTACATGCTGGTCGCTCTTCCTCTACATAAATGTTGTGCAAAAACAACGGAAAAGTGGAAAAAGTATCAAACATAATGAACGACGGCTCAGTTGAAAAGCACCAAAAACATGGGACACTGAAAAGGTGTTGTATATATGGGGCCCTCCTGTGTAATTTTTTGCCTTGGTTGGGGATGGCATGTGTGTATATATATATATATATGTGTGTGTGTGTATTAATAAAGCAAAACTCTTTGATTTTCAGGTGTTATGTGATTGCTCCAGATTTAGTTACTGAAAATTTATTGTTTTTTTCTTTGCAGGTGACTCCCAAGTGTGCTTTACTGAGTGATGTCTTGTATGAGTCTGCATATGAGTCGCAGTTGTGGATGTTGTTCGATCACAACAAACAGCTCCTGGGCTCTGGCGATGCATACAGTAACAAGTATTCCATTAAATTGGAGAAGGGGGATTACACCATCCGACTGCACGTCCGCCACGAACGACCGGACCTACTGGAGAAGCTCTCCGACCTTCCTCTCACGGTGCTCACCAAGCTGGCTCAAGAGGTGAAAATATACCATATTTTCTGGCATATGCGGCGCACAAGTATACAGGAAGTCCTCAACTTACAGACACAGCGGGGATCTGAATTGTGTATAATCATAATACAGAAAGTATTCAACTTAGACACGTTGAGGACCTGTATTGTGTATAATAATGATATACGCAATACAAAAGATTCTCATCATGTTTGTAAGTTGAGGACTTGCTATATAAGACACATAAGATGATGTTTCCGAGTAATTGTAATGTAACTTTAGTAAGCAGCTGCTAAAGCGTAACCCAGAGCCTACCCTTAACTCTGACCTTGAACATATAAGGTCCAGGCTGATTTTCCAGCACTTCTTGCGGCGGAAAAAAAAAAGCACACTTTACATGCCAAAAAAAATACGGGATGTTTCAAAATGATGGACCCGATCATGAAATATAAAGCTTTGATATCGGGTTCATCGTCGTGAAACGCCCTGTACTGCAGTTTTTGTGAGTTGTTTATTAACATTGCGTTCAATATAGCAGGTAGAGTTCAGCAGTAGATTTGTAAGAAATAATGGATTTTTTAAGCAGAATATTTTAATTTTAGCAGGAAATAGACCCCAAAAATCGTAAATTATTGGCAATTTCAGTTAAAAGTGTCATCCAAGGAGGTACGGTATTTACGATCCTGTTGTATATGTGAAATAGAAATGTGTTAGATGTTTTACACACTGGGAGGACTATTGATGTTTTCTCTGTCTCATTAACATCAAATAGAAATGTGTTAGTTTTACACACTAGCAGGATTATTGGCCTGTATCAGATGTTTTACAGTCAGGATTGCTGCTCTTTTCTGTCTCATAACCACACATGAGATAAATCTGGCAGCTTATACATCCAGTATATGCCCTATACAGTGGACCCCCGCATAACGATTACCTCCGAATGCGACCAATTATGTAAGTGTATTTATGTAAGTGCGTTTGTACTTGTATGTTTGGGGGTCTGAAATGGACTAATCTACTTCACAATATTCCTTATGGGAATAAATTCGGTCAGTACTGGCACCTGAACATACTTATGGAATGAAAAAATATCGTTAACCGGGGGTCCACTGTATATGTGAATACACATACGCGTATACACACACCTGAGTTTTCATCTGAATTTCAAAATAGTTCTTGCCTTTACAAGCTTTTCCTTGAAATTCCATGGGGATGTGGGTTACAGTCCTTCCTTCATAAGCAATGTGTGTCATAGGAGGCAAATATAAATGCTAGGAATGAGGGGCTAGTAACCCCTTCTCCTGTATAAATTACTAACTTTGAAAAGAGAAGCTTTCATTTTTCTTTTTAGGTCATCCTGCCTTGGTGGGATACAGCCTGTTTGTTAAAATAGAAAGTGGGGGCTAGTAACCCCTTCTGTGTCATCCGTTTTACTGTATAGAGCAGTGAGATTAATATTGCTCTCAATGACCACTTTTAAAAAAAATCTTTTCAAATGGTAGAGAATCTTTTTCTGAAGGTAATGACACCATAGGGACAAAATTTGATTGAAGACTTATGGAATTACGCTTGGGCAGAATTAGTGGTCTCGACACAGTTTACGCATTGGCAGTTTCACCCACTTTGACTCCTAATTATTTTAAACCAATTCCATTGTTCAATTTGACCAAATTCTTAGCTATTTCACTAGTATGCCTTCCATTCTATTGATTGAGCATTAGAAGCTGCTCATTTACCTATTTCACCTACCCCATTTAGTGTACAGAAATTGATAATTTCCCCAATTTTTACACAGAATTAAAAAATGTACCAGTTTAAAAATAGCGTCTGGAATAAGCAACATAAACATTGCTGGCACTAAAACAACGTTTCCTCTGTTTGTTAGACGCATCCGTAGGCCTCTCCTACATCACACTTGCTTTCCATTTTGAATTCTTAATCACACAAAAATAGAAGATTTCCTCCATTTCTCAGATAATAAAATATAACCAGGAATGATTGGTCATGGTTTACAGCATCCCAATAATTGAATCAGGCCTATTAAAAACCCATAATATGGACTGGGGGTTTTGGAAGGCTCTACCCATCTTCTGGAATATCTGCAAAAATCAAGCATTTTCACTTCTTTGAGCTCAATTTCAAGGTACTTGTAGTCCTGAAACAAGTCAAAATTGTATGTATTCAGTACGAAGAAAAAGCCAATAAAAAAAAACATCCGAGAAAACACCTCAAAATTGCTGTTTTAAACCACACACATGGTCACCATTTTATTTTTCCCGTCGTGCACGGCATTGAGGCAGGATATTTTTTTTTTTGTACTGTGCACACTCACCACTCGCCCATTCTCTCATATCTAGGTCAAAATTTACCACTCACAGCTTATCTGAATAAGTTTTTTGAAAGCTTATTGTTCAATTTTGGACACAATTTTTATGGTATTTCCAAAAAAAATCACACTACAGTGGAACCTCAAATATCGAACTTTCTTCAGTCCAGAAGTCTGTTCGAGTGCCTTTACCGAATGAATTTATTCCCATCAGGAATAATGTAAATTAGATTAGTACCATTTCAGACCCTCAAAAATACACTTATAAAAGCACTTACAAAAATACACTTACATAATTGGTCGTGTTGGGAGCAGTTTGATTTTTGAGGTTCCACTTTATATACATTTGCTTTATAAGAAAATGCAGTGTATTCAATTTGTTTTAGTTGTACACAAAGAGCCAAAAAAACGAGAGTTTTACATAAATAATATTACTATTTTTTTTTTATACTGCATGTGGTCAAAATTGAGAGTTGGTTTGAAAAGTTTGTCTAGGTCAATTGTACTTTCCAATAGTAGTGTTGTGATGCTGGTGGAAGGCTCTTGATCCAGGGAGAAAAATGTGCTAAAACATGATTTAATTGCATATTTATACAACCTGCACATAGGTGAGAGAAACTTAGGATGATGTTTTTGTTTGACTTGAACCATTTACAAGGTCACACAGTGTGACTTAGTAAATGATCCAACTCGGACCAAAACGTGGTCATAAGCTTCTCTCTCTCCTCTTTGCAGGTCGTGTATTCCAGGTATTGTGCTATTTTGTTGTTTCTTATTGCATATTTTGACGTTTCCGAGCAGGTTGAGGCGTTTCTAGCTAAAAGTTGAAGTACAGTTGGAAAAAATGCCTCGGACAGCTCTAAAACATCAAAATATGCAAAGAAATCAGGTATCAGGTTTAGCATCTCCACACGGGTATAAATAAAAATAATAATAATAGAATAATACAGTGAACCCCCTCTTTATGATTAGCTCCCAATGTGACCAATTATGTAAGTGTATTTATGTAAGTGCGTTTTGTACGTGTATGTTTGGGGGTCTGAAATGGACTAATCTAATTCACAATATTCCTTATGGGAACAAATTCGTTTAGTACTGGCACCTGAACATACTTCTGGAATGAAATAATATCGTAAACCGGGGGTCCACTGTACTGTTGAATGTTTTGCATTTTGAGATCATTTTACTTCATTGGCAGATGGCCGATGTTAGTAATAATAATAATATTAGTGTTTCTCTACTGTAATTAGATATATTTTTAGGGGATAGGGATATTTGCTGCTTAGTGACATCTAAACTCTTGTATCTGCATGCCTCTGCCAAGAGTGACAGTGTGAATGATGGTGAAAGTGTTTCTTCTATTTCGGGTCACTTTGCCTCTGTGGGAGACGGCCAGCGTATCAGAAAAGAAAATTTGTATTTATTTTTTTTTTTTTTTTTTTTTATTATCACACCGGCCGATTCCCACCAAGGCAGGGTGGCCCGAAAAAGAAAAACTTTCACCATCATTCACTCCATCACTGTCTTGCCAGAAGGGTGCTTTACACTACAGTTTTTAAACTGCAACATTAACACCCCTCCTTCAGAGTGCAGGCACTGTACTTCCCATCTCCAGGACTCAAGTCCGGCCTGCCGGTTTCCCTGAATCCCTCATAAATGTTACTTTGCTCACACTCCAACAGCACGTCAAGTATTAAAAAACCATTTGTCTCCATTCACTCCTATCAAACACGCTCACGCATGCCGCTGGAAGTCCAAGCCCCTCGCACACAAAACCTCCTTTACACCCCCTCCCTCCAACCCTTCCTAGGCCGACCCCTACCCCGCCTTCCTTCACTACAGACTGATACACTCTTGAAGTCATTCTGTTTCGCTCCATTCTCTCTACATGTCCGAACCACCTCAACAACCCTTCCTCAGCCCTCTGGACAACAGTTTTGGTAATCCCGCACCTCCTCCTAACTTCCAAACTACGAATTCTCTGCATTATATTCACACCACACATTGCCCTCAGACATGACATCTCCACTGCCTCCAGCCTTCTCCTCGCTGCAACATTCATCACCCACGCTTCACACCCATATAAGAGCGTTGGTAAAACTATACTCTCATACATTCCCCTCTTTGCCTCCAAGGACAAAGTTCTTTGTCTCCCACCAAGGCAGGGGGGCCCGAAAAAGAAAAACTTTCATCATCATTCACTCCATCACTGTCTTGCCAGTGGTGTGCCTAAACTACTTATAAAACTGCAACATTAACACCCCTCCTTCAGAATAATAGTAATAATAATGTTGAATGTTTCGTGGTTTTGGGTCGCACTCATTTCTTCTATAGATATTGTTTATTTTGTAATAATGGTGGTGTTGCTGGCATGCTGAAATATGACTATCTCTCGACAGGTCAAATTAGATGTGTATTCGTCTTTAAACGCGGCGGTGACAGCCGGCAAGAAGGCTCAGCCTGTCACCCTGAAAGCTGGCACCAGTCAGCCTGTCTACCTCTCAGCCCCCAGTTTGTCTGATAAGTATGTCATATGTCGCAGGTTAAAGCTTATACCAGTAATTTTTCACCTTTATTTTCAAAATTTACACGATGTTCCAAGCAGAACACAAATCCCAGTAAGGGCTGGGAGCTGAGACATAGTCAGCCTGTCTATCTCTCACCTCCCAGTTTCTCTGATAAGTATATTATGTGCCATAGATTTGAGCTTATACAAGAGATTTTCAACTTTTTTTTTTTTTTTTTTTCAAAATTCGTGCAGTAGGCATGTTCCAAGCAGCCAGCCGGAACACAGATTCCGGCTTAATTCTTGTTTGTTTACGACAATATTTTGGATGGAAACATCGTCAAATGTTTTGTTGTCCTGTGTGTGGGTTATTTGTGTTTGTTTCTGTGATGTCAAGTTTTTCTTGAGTACAGTAAATGAGGATCCTTGAAAGGGATTGTTATAATCATGGTGAAGGGCTCTTGATCCAAGAAATTGGGGGTTTACTCTCTTCCTGGGATCAAACTTGTTTGCCTCCCATTCTTCAGACATTGAATGATCCCTATATTAATCTTAACATTTCCCCAAGAAAATATATTACAGTGGACCCCAGCTTTACGATCACCTCCCAATGCGACCAATTATGTAAGTGTATTTATGTAAGTGCGTTTGTACGTGTATGTTTGGGGGTCTGAAATGGACTAATCTACTTCACAATATTCCTTATGGGAACAAATACGTTCAGTACTGGCACCTGAACATACTTTTGGAATGAAATAATATCGTGTACCAGGGGTCCACTGTATAAGGTGCACATCACTTTCCGATGGTTCTACTTTAAATATATCAACTTTACGATGGTGCGGTAATCAGTTCTCTGTACTGTAAAACTTTTTTTTGTACTGTATATTTATTGACAAGTTAAACTAGTATTGACAAGATAAACTTGTACTCATTTACTTTTCAGTACTGGAATTTAGTTATAGTAATTTGTTTATTTATTCAGTGATGCTAGTTATTTATCTGTTTATCATATATTCATGTATGACTTAAAATATTTTCAACTTATGATGCGTTCGTCGGAGTGTAACGCCACCATAAGTCAAGGACCGCCTGTTTCTACTTTAGTTTTGATTGTAATAGTAATAACGTTAATTTATTTTATTAATACATCGGCTGTCTCCCACCAAGGTAGGGTGTCTCGAAAAAGAAAAACTTTCACCATCGTTCACTCCATCCCTGTCTTGCCAGAGGTGTGCCTACACTACAGTTATAAAACTGCAACATTAACACCCCTCCTTCAGAGTGCAGACACTGTACTTCCCATCTCCAGGACTCAAGTCTGGCTTGCCGGGCTCCCTGAATCTCTTCATAAATGTTACCTTGCTAACACTCCAACAGCACGTCAAGTCCTAAAAACCATATGCCTCCATTTGCTCCGATCTAACATGCTCATGCATGCGTCCTGGAAGTCCAAGCCCCTGGCACACAAAACCTCCTTTACCCCCTCCCTCCGACCCTTCCTCGGCCAACCTCTACCCCACCTTCCCTCCACTACAGATTTACACTCTCTGTCATTCTATTTTGTTCCATCCTCTCTCCATGCCCGAACCACCTCAACAACCCCTCCTCAGCTCTCTGGATAATAGTTTTGGTAATCCTGCACCACCTCCTAATTTCCAAACTAGGAATTCTCTGCATTATATTCCCACCACACATTGCCCTCAGACATGACATCTCCACTGCCTCCAGCCTTCTCCTTGTTGCAACATTCACAACCCATGCTTCACACACTTATAAAAGCCTTGGTATAACTATACTCTCATACATTCCCCTCTTTGCTTCCATGGACAAAGTTCTTTGTCTCCAGACACTCCTAAGTCCCCTCGTCAATACTGTGATTTACGTCATGTTTCATAGACCCATCTGCTGACACATCCTAAATATCTGAATACATTAATAATGATAATATAATTTTGCTATTGCATTTATAATTAAAAATTACTTTTGGTATGATAATGAAAGAATGTTTTATATTTTTTCAGGAATCTGAAGAGCCTAGGGCTAACACCTGGTCAGGCTTTATTAGGTAGCCTGTCGTTTGCTAAGGATGAGCAAGTTCGGAAAGCTGTAAGTAGCCACAAGTTTGGGCTCATACGTACTATGCCGGTAAGACCACACGCTTACCCTCTCCTCAGTCTTTATTCACTGTTTCTCCTCTTCTAGCATTCTTTCTTAGCTTAAACTTTCCACTTTTGTATATTCAGTACAGAGATGAATCAGTGAGCTCTCTTGTGAAACTCCAGACTTTAGTGCTGAAGGTGGGAAGTACAGTGCCTGCACTCTGAAGGATGGGTGGGGATGTTACGGTTGGGAATGCCATCTGAACTGCGACATAAGTGCACTTCTGGCAAGACAGCAGTTGAAATGAGTAATGATGAATGTGTTTCCTCTTTTTTTAAAGTCCCCCTATCATGGGAGACAGTGAGTGTGTTAAAAAAAATGAAAAATTACATCCAGAATAGAATAATGTGTGAAAAGGCCAGCACTTTTTAAGTTTTGGATGAACTTTCACTAATGTCAACCAAAAAGAAATTGAAATACATAGAGGAGCTGAAATTTTGGATGCTTTTTTTAATTAAAATATCACTACATAGAGGAGCTCAAGTTTTCAATGATTTTTTTAATTGATAAATAAGACACATGCAGCACTTTGGTATATTTAATTCTGGAAACGCGTCGCCAATCACTGGCTTCTTCAGTCCGACACAGAGAAATGGTGGTGGGAGAAACCACAACTTGGTGGAATGTTTTCTGCAGGTGTCTCATTTACTGATTTGCCATTTTTTAAAGCCATTTGTGCAGGCTTGTTCACTCGTATTAATCCCCAGATAGTCGCACTTCATGGCGGAGCTTCGGAAGAGGGCTGACTGTACGGGTAGTTAGTCTCCTAAATATTTACCACTAATATTCTTTTTGCTGCTTAACATTGTAGGAGTGATGGAAAGAAAATGTCAATTGTAAGTAGAAATGTTCAAATAGGTAAATGTAATAGGTCAAATAGGTATATGGAATACGTGAAATAGGTAAGCATAATAAGTAAATGAAATAGGTAAATGGAAGAGGGAAAATAGGTAAATGTAATAGGTCAAATAGGTATATGGAATACGTGAAATAGGTAAGCATAATAAGTAAATGAAATAGGTAAATGGAAGAGGGAAAATAGGTAAATGTAATTGTGAAGGCATTGACCTGAACTATCTACCTACCTAGCTGGAGGTTGTTCCTGGTTACTGGCTCTTGTAAACCACTGATAACAAACCAGGGATTTGAACCCAGGTCAAGCAAATCTTGAAACTCACAGGCCAGTGCATTAACCACTTGGCCAGCTGGCTGACACACTCGCCTGGGAATTTCAAGACTTGCTCACCTTTGGGTTAGACCCCACTTGTTCTGTGGCCTTCGGTCATAAGGCGTACTGGCCCATGTGAGGCAGGCCCAAGTTACGATGAATATAAAGATTAAAAGTTCTCTATTTCAGCGTGACACAATTTTTGTACAGCATCGGATATCCGCATCCGCGGCATATCCGCACAATTTCTTACATCCGCATCCGCATTTTACCGGAAACAGATATCCGCATATGCATCCACATCAACATCACGGAACATCCGCACAGTTTCTCACACCCGCATCCGCAAAATAAGTAAGACATCCTCGTACACATCTGCATCCGCGGATATCTAAATTTTCACAACCGATACATCTATATTGTACAGCAATATTGTACAACATCTATATTGTACAACAATATTGTACAACATCTATATTGTACAACAATATTGTACAACATCTATATTGTACAACAATATTGTACAACATCTATATTGTACAGTAATGGGTGACATTTAGGTGTATAGTCAGAAAATCCATTATTATGTAGAGCATTTTGGGCAAAGTCTAATAGGGCAATAATTAATTGATTGCTTATAAATACGGTCTCCTAAGTGGTCATCAAAATAAATTTAGGAAGTATAAGGAATGCAGGAGAATTGAATAGGGAGTCTGGCCCATGGCCGGGCTCAGAGAGTAGAGAAACTCGCGAAACTCTTCAAAGGTATATCAAAGGTAGTGCTATATACAGGAGGGCCCCCCATGTATACAGCAGGTTAGGTTCTGGGCTACTGTAAGGCCCAGCTTATACAGCAGGTCAGGTTCTGGGCTACTGTAGGGCCCCATGTATACAGCAGGTTAGGTTTTGGGCTACTGTAGGGCCCTGCTTATACAACAGGTTAGGTTCCATGCTACTGTAGGGCCCAGCTTATACAGCAGGTCAGATCCTGGGCTACTGTAGGGCCCTGCTTATACAGCAGGTTAGGTACTGGGTTGCTATAGTGCCCCACTTACACAGCAAGTTAGGTTCCAGGTTACTGTAGGGCCCCACTTATCCAGCAAGTTAGGTTCCAGGTTACTGTAGGGCCCCACTTATCCAGCAAGTTAGGTTCCAGGTTACTGTAGGGCCCCACTTATCCAGCAAGTTAGGTTCCAGGTTACTACTATAAAGTGAAATAGCTTTCTTTATCACTTTCAACTGCATATGAAGTCTGATATGTTCACACTATCATGTTCACACTATCATGTTCACACTATCATGTTCACACTATCATGTTCACACTATCATGTTCACACTATCATGTTCACACTATCATGTTCACACTATCATGTTCACACTATCATGTTCACACCATCATGTTCACACTATCATGTTCACACTATCATGTTCACACTATCATGTTCACACTATCATGTTCACACCATCATGTTCACACTATCATGTTCACACTATCATGTTCACACTATCATGTTCACACTATCATGTTCACACCATGTTCACACTATCATGTTCACACCATCATGTTCACACCATCATGTTCACACCATCATGTTCACACCATTTTCACACCATCATGTTCACACCATCATGTTCACACCATCATGTTCACACCATCATGTTCACACCATCATGTTCACACCATCATGTTCACACCATCATGTTCACACCATCATGTTCACACCATCATGTTCACACTATCATGTTCACACTATCATGTTCACACCATCATGTTCACACCATCATGTTCACACTATCATGTTCACACCATCATGTTCACGCCATCATGTTCACGCCATCATGTTCACGCCATCATGTTCACGCCATCATGTTCACGCCATCATGTTCACACTATCATGCTCACACCATCATGTTCACACCATCATGCTCACACCATCATGTTCACACCATCATGTTCACACTATCATGTTCATACTATCATGTTCACACCATCATGTTCACACCATCATGTTCACACCATCATGTTCACGCCATCATGTTCACGCCATCATGCTCACAACATCATGTTCACGCCATCATGTTCACGCCATCATGTTCACGCCATCATGTTCACGCCATCATGTTCACGCCATCATGTTCACGCCATCATGTTCACGCCATCATGTTCACGCTGTCATGTATTTGGTGAGCAATACAGCTAAGCCTAAAAAATGTATACAGTAAATGCATTAATCTCCTAAAAATATTTTTGTCCTTAGCTTAGAGTGAGGGGTGAATATATTTATTGGAGAAAGTCTGAATAAACAAAGAACGGCTAGAATTGAAAACCGCTGTAAAGTGAAGCGCCGTAAAGCGGGGGCGGGGGCCCTCCTGTAACAATTATTGAGTTGTGGTGAATGGTTTAGAAAACCGACAAGTTGAAGAATTGAGACACTTATGCAACACATGGGAATCTTTATTGAAGAAACGTTTCGCCACACAGTGGCTTCATCAGTCCAATACAAAGTAGAAATGGGTAAGGAGAGGAGAAGTTTGAGGTAATCAGTCCCTCAACCTGGAATCGATGTGTTCAGTCCATCACTCTTGTCACATCGATTCCAGGTTGAGGGACTGATTACCTCAAACTTCTCCTCTCCTTACCCATTTCTACTTTGTATTGGACTGATGAAGCCACTGTGTGGTGAAACGTTTCTTCACTAGAGATTCCCATGTGTTGCATAAGTGTCTCAATTCTTCAATTATTGAGTTCAGTTGTTTTAAGGATTAAAGGTTGACTTAGGGTTGCAGGTAATACGGATTCTAGCATGTTAACATATTTTGAACACATTGGGTATATTTAAGGGTTGTGAGGATTACAGTGGCTGGAACACTTCACTAGAAAGTTGTTAAGCATTTTTACTGTGTAAAAATTGTAGGAGCAGAATCAACTTGTTAGGAAGACTTGTCTGTACACACTTTAACAAGTACAGTGGACCCCCGACTAACGATATTATTTCAATCCAGAAGTCTGTTCGGGTGCCATTATAGACCGAATTTGTTCCCATAAGGAATATTGTGAATTAGATTAGTCCGTTTCAGACCACCAAAAATACACCTACAAAAGCACTTACAAAAATACACTTACATAATTGGTCGCGTTTGGAGCTGATCATTAGTCGGGAGTCCACTGTACTGTTGAAGTTCACTGAATCTAGCCATTTGTAAACTTCATGGTGACTTTTTTTTTTTTTTTCCATTTTTCCAGGACCAGTATCCCCTACGTGTGGTGGTTACTGAACTACCTTGCAAAAAACGCAGCACCGGTAGCAGCAACAGCAACTCTGAGGAGAAGAAAGAAGCTAAAACCCTGGCAGACTATCAAGAAGCCTTAAGGGACCTACAAACTGCTTGGATAGCCAAACTAGGTACTTATATATATGGCTGTTACTCAATGATAATAATAATAATACTAACAATACTAACAATTTTCATATAGTTGGACTTGAGTCCTGGAAATGGGAAGTACAATGTTACCTGCACTTTAAAGGAGGGGTTTGGGATATTGGCAGTTTGGAGGGATATGTTGTGTATCTTTATACGTATATGCTTCTAAACTGTTGTGTTCTGGGCGCCTCTGCAAAAACAGTGATTATGTGTGAGTGTGGTGAAAGTGTTGAATGATGAAGAAAGTATTTTCTTTTTGGGGATTTTCTTTCTTTTTGGGTCACCCTGCCTCGGTGGGAGACGACCAACTTGTTGAAAAAAACAAAAAAAACAAAACAATAGAAACCATGCTTGTCATAAGAGGCGCCTAAAATGCCGGCAGTGAGGTGTTACTAACACCACTGCTGTATAAATTACTAAATGTAAAAAGAAGGAAAACTTTTTTCTTTTTCAGGTCACCCTGCCTTGGTGGGAGACAACCAATGTGTTAAAATAACAATAATAATAATAATAATACTTCTGGAAAGATAACAGTTGAATGAACGATGATGAATGTGTTTTCTTCTGTGTGTCACCCTGAATCAGTGGAAGATGGCCATTGAGCTAATAATAATATAATAATAATGCATTACTAATAGTACTAATGGTACTAATAGTACCAGTAATAATTTTACTAAATAAATCTAATTATTTATCATATAGTACATATGTATATTATTAATTATGATAAATTATGGTTACAAGATTAGGTAAACAATTATTTACATTCCAGTATCATTTTGTCTTTTAAAAACTCATTGTTATGAAATATTTTTTTAGGGCAGACTTAAAAATAGAGCCTAATACAGTAGATCATTAATTAATCCATGATCTGGTAACACCTTTGTGTTTGCAATTTCAAAATTGTAGCATATTTTCAGCAAATGTCGTGTATTAGTCAGCTTACACGCAGAATGCGTGTCGTGAAAGATGTGGTGTGTGCTGGGCTCTTTCTCTTCTGCCTATGGCAAGGTTCGTTGTCTTACAGGGTAGGCCTACATAATGTATGCAGCCTTCTTTGCCTCGGTGATCCGTTCCTTGCCTCAGTGATCCGTTCCTTGCCTCGGTGACCCATTTCTTGCCTCAGAGATCTCTTCCTTGCCTCGGTGATCTGTTCCTTGTCTCAGTGATCCATTGCTTGTCTCGGTGATCCATTCCTTGCCTCAGTGATCCATTCCTTGCCTCAGTAAACTGCATTTTTGTATACTGCAGAAATAAATCAAGTTTGTGTGTTTTCAGATTGTGAGGCTGGAGAGGAGATATACAAGGATGTGATGACTGCTCACCCGGACCACCTGGCTGCCCAGTTGGCACGTCTGCAAGCCTTGGATGCTGTTGGAGCCCAGAACAGAACAGCTGTGATAGCGCAGGCCTCGCGCATTGTAGCAGCGGTTGATACGGCGCCCCTACTGGCTTTCTATGGTACCAAGACCGACACACGCACAGATGCAGCCAAGATCAAAACGCAGGTTAGTCAGTATTTTTTAAAAATATGAAAAGTTCATAGAAACTTAAATTATTATTTCATATTTCATCTTTTTGGAGCAGCTGGAGGCATTTTCTGACATCATTTTTAAGATATGTCAGTTATTACACTTATAATTGAAATTGATTAGCACTTTTTTTTAATGGGCCATAATTAAATTCTTAGATTTTGGAAGTTGTTAAAATGAAAATCTCAATACAGTGTGTAAATTGAACTTCTAATTCCTGTAAAATAATTGCCGTAAAATACGGCAAGTGATAATAAGTGTAAAGTTAGAGAAATTAGTAGTGGTCAGTACAAAGAATCACATTTAGTCCATATAAAGTTATTATGTGTGGCTGTAGCCACCTAAATACTGTAGACCATTCTAGAACTTTATTTCTCCTTGTAGCCAAGTTTATTTTAGCAAATTTTGGTGCAAAGGAAGAGTTTTCACAGCAAACTGATTTCTAATAATCTTTCAGATGGACAAGCAGCGAAATACCCTGCTGGAAGCTCTGTCCCGCCAGGGGTCAGCGCTGTGTGCCGATATTCTGGCTCTGCCTGCCGCTGAGCGCACCCAGGAAGCAATAGACCAGGTCGATGCCATCGCTGTTGACGCAATGAAATTTGTGGAGCCATCGGACTCAAAGGCAGGTTTTTGTCACGGTATTTGCCTATGTTTTGTGTTCGTGCTAGTGGTTTTGTTTTTGTTACATTGGTTTATTTTGGTTTTTCTTGTGTAGGTTCATATAGTGTGTTTATTCTAGTTTTTTTTTTATGTACATTTATTTTTGTTTTTCTTGTGTTGGTTCGTACAGTGGTACCTTGGGATATGAACTTAATTCGTTCCAGAAGGCTGTTCAAATGCCGTTACCAAACGAATTTGTTCCCATAAAGAATAATGTAAATTAGATTAATCCATTTCAGACCCCCAAAAATATCCTTACAAAAGCACTTACATAAATACACTTAAATAATTGTTTGAGTTTTGAGCTGTTCGTATCCTGAGGTACCACTGTACAGTGGACCCTCACCTAACGATATTAATTGGTGTCCGAGAACGAATATCGTTAGGCGAGTTTTTTAGCGTTGGCCGAGGCAAAAGTTAGCGTTAAAATGTATCATTAGGCGAATTTAACATTATGCGATGCGTTCGTTAGGCGAGGGTCCACTGTATATACTTTTTCTCAGCAAGGTTGGTGTGTGATCTATATCAAAATTCTCTTTCAATCTCTCACTTTCTTCCTTCTAAGGTAAGTTTGACCTGCAGATGTGTTCATTACTGTGAAAGTACAGCCAGGTCTTGATTAGTGCAAATTTCAACATAGGGCAAAATTAATTAACGCAAATTTTTCCCTCAAAACTCGTCAGATCATGTACCAAAATTACATATTATTCAAATAGTGCAAATTTGAATACTGTAACCACTTCACGGGTTCATTATCCCACTAATGGAGACTTGGCAGGGTGGCCCGAAAAAGAAAAACTTTCACCATCATTCAGTCCATCGTTGTCTTGCCAGGGGCATGCCTGCACTATAGTTATAAAACTGCAACATTAACACTCCTCCTTCAGAGTGCAGGCACTGTACTTCTCATCTCCAGGACTCAAGTCCGGTCTGCCAGGCTCCCTGAATCCCTTCATAAATGTTACCTTGCTTGCACTCCAACAGCACGTCAAGCCCTAAAAACTATTTGTCTCCATTTGTGCGAGCGTGTTAAATAGGAATAAATGGAAGCAAATGATTTTTAGGACTTGACGTGCTGTTGGAGTGCAAGCAAGGTAACATTTATGAAGGGATTCAGGGAAACCGGCAGGCTGGACTTGAGTCCTGGAGACGAGAAGTACAGTGCCTGCACTCTGAAGGAGTGTTAGTGTTGCAGTTTTATAACTGTAATGTAAGGGTGCCTCTCACAAGACAGTGATGGAGTGAATGATGGTTTTTATTTTTCGGGCCACCCTGCCTTGGTGGGAGACAGCTGATGTGTTAGTAATAAAAAAACATGCAAGATTTCAGGTACGTCTTGCTACTTCTACTTAGGTCACACAATGCATACGTGTACAAACATATATGTATATATATACACACACACCCCTCTGGGTTTTCTTATATTTTCTTACTATTTCTTGTTCTTGTTTATTTCCTCTTATCTCCATGGGGAAGTGGAACAGAATTCTTCCTCTCTAAGCCATGTGTGTCATAAGAGGCGACTAATATGCCAGGACCATGGGGCTAGTAACCCTTTCTCTTGTATACATTACTAGATTTAAAAAGATAAATTTTTGTTTTTCTTTTTTGGGTCACCCTGGCTCGGTGGGATATAACCAGTTTGTTGAAACATATATATTCAATAAGATCAGAGTAAACGGGTGATAGCACAATATGCCAAAATAACCTCGGTGAAAAATAGCGAAATTTGTGATGTCTCACATTATCAAGAAACTGTGAGAAATCGAGAAAAGCACCTGGAATTTTTTTTTTTTTCACTCTGGTTATTTTTCATACATTAGTATGTGTCTCATTGCTTTTATTATAGGTAATGATTAGCATTTTATTGTTTCAGGTAAATGGGTTCTTTGCAAGTTACTACCAAGTCCGAGGGCTCGATGGCTTGGCGGCACGAATAATTGCCCGCCAGTGTGAAGAGAAATGGACCCGAGAGAACGAAGCCAAGCTAACCGAAGCATATAATCGACTGGGCTGGAGCCATATTTCCACACTTATCACTAGTACTCACCCATTACGGTTCCCCAACACTTATACACCTTTCTGAGTGCGTTAATTAAAATCTCGGAGAGTATCTTCAGTCACTTTTGATTACTATGCTGCCGTAATTTTAATATTCGAGAGCTTTTGCACTTTTGTTATATTTCGTCCACTGATCTTAAATTTATGATGGACATTCACCAGCAATTGTGTTTGGAATATTGACATTATAACCCACAGACTCGACCAGTACAAAGATCGTAATCAAGTTGCCAGTTGTGAGTGTGTAGTGTGGGGGCAGGAACTGATAACCAGCCATTGTTTAGTACCTCAGATCAGTACCTCAGATCAGCACCTCAGATCAGTATCTCAGATCAGCACCTCGGGTCTACACCTCAGCTCAACACCGCAGGTCAATGCCTGAGATCAGCAAGTCAGATCAACACCGCAGATCAATGCTCAGATCAACAGGAGGATTTTAGATACTGCATGTACATAAGTGATCATTCTACTCTGATCCACGGATGAGTTGTCGTCCAGTGTGTATTCAGTACCAGCAGGCCACTGACAGGAACACCCTGTTAGATAATGTGATATTGTGGCAATTTCTCAGCACTCTCAAGGAACGTTTCAAGTTCTAGCCCCAAATTCCTAGGACATAGACATCTCCAAATCGGTCACATTGATTGCATCTGTGTCCATTTTAGGTGACATTTTGTTGGTAGGTCTACATTGGTATTACAGGAGGTCTGGTACAGTCATCAGAAACAAGGTCTGGCCAAGGCCAAGCCTACATCTCTAACCAGTTCAAGGTTAAGCTAAAATGAATGGGATGGTTCTTAGGCCCTATGTTTAAGAAATAATTTTATTATACTACGTAAAATGGTTTTTTGCACCTAGTTTGTTGTAACTTTAGTTATTCTCTATAAAATGTATTTTTTGTTAATATTTTTGGGTGTCTGGAATGGATTAATTGGATTTACATTACGTATTTCTGAAGGAGGAGTGTTAATGTTGCAGTTTAAAAACTGTAGTGTAAAGCACCCTTCTGGCAAGACAGTTGGTGGTCAATGATGGTGGTTTTTCTTTTTCGGGCCACCCTGCCTTGGTGGCCCCCTGCCTTGGTGGTCACCCTGCCTTGGTGGTCCACCCTGCCTTGGTGGTCCACCCTGCCTTGGTGGTCCACCCTGCCTTGGTGGACCACCCTGCCTTGGTGGGCCCCCTGCCTTGGGGCCACCTGCCTTGGTGGCAATCCCTGCATTGGTGGCACGCCTTGGGCACCTGCCTTGGTGGGTACATCATTCTGGGACACCTCTTGGGGGCTCCCTGTTTGGGCCCCTGCCTTGGTGGTCCACCCTGCACTTGGTGGCACTCCTGGTGGTCACCTTCCTTGGTCCACCCTGCCTTTGGTGGTCCACCTGGCTTGTGGTCACCCTTGACTTGTTGTTCCCCGCTTGGGTTCACCCTGCCTTGGTGGCCACCCGCTTGGGACATTCCTTGGTGGCCACCTGCCTTGGTGGTCCCTTGCCCTTGGTGGGTACACTTGCCTTGGTGGCACCCTGCCTTGGTGGGCCACCCTGCCTTGGTGGGCCACCTCCTGTGGCCACCGCCTTGGTTGGATATTGGCCAGATGTGATATATAAAAGAATTTCTTTGGAAACATTAAAAAAAAATGTTTTATAGAAGTATAGTTTTACATACGACTGGGCATAGAAACCCAGGTTCCACTGTTTGTCCTTTTTTTTCTACAGAAGTTAATTGCATTTTAGTGAAAAGTAATTTTGTTAGACTTGTTAATTATTTAGAGAATTTCCTCACTTGTAGGAAATCTATTTTTTAATTTTTTTTTGTGTATTGCCCATTTTAATGTTACATATAGACCCATCAGGAGAGATACTTATGGTACGATGGTTTGTCTTTTAGCCCAAACTTCGGTACGATGGTTTGGTCTTTTTTTACCAAATTACGTACGATGGTTTTTTTTGACCCATTACTTTCTATTTTTCTTTACCAAAGTAATAGCCGAGCGGTCATTAGCCCAAACTTACCGTAATGGTTTGTCTTTTAGACCAACTTACGGTACGATGGTTTGTTTAGGACCAAATTACGTACGTTGGTTTGTTTTTAGACCTACTTACGTACGATGGTTTTTTTAGACCAACTTACCGTACGATGGTTTGTCTTTTAGTACCCAAACTTACGTTCGTGTTTGTCTTTTTGACCAATATTGGTAATGGTTTGTCTTTTAGACCCAAATACGTACGATGGTTTGTCTTTTAGACCCAAATACGGTACGATGTTTGTCTTTCAGACCAATTAGGTACGTGGTTTGTCTTTAGACCCAAACCAAAAAAATTTGTGCTGGGTACCTTTTTTTTTTTTTATTTCGAAAATCTGACCTTTTGTTTTCTTGGCATCTTCTCCTATCTTAAATCTTTTACCGGGAAATTATATTTTTGAAGGAGGAGTTCAAAAGTGGGTTGGCTTGATAAAAGAGGAAATATTTGCTCACCTGGAAACTTCAAGGATCAATAAAAATTTATCTGGTTAATTTTTTTTAAATTGTGTTCCCATTGCAATGTTCAGTGTTAACACAATTGCAGATTATTATTTCAACGTTGCCATGTAAAGAAAGTGAGGAGTGAATGATGGTGAAAGCGTTTTTTTTTTAGGGTCACCTGGTGGGAAATGATGATGTGTAATAAAAAATATGTATATTCTAGCAGTACATTACAAACTTATTCAGACCATGTGGCTATGACATACTCTATAGAAAGTACCTGTATGTATGGTTTTCTGTAAATTAAGTCATTTGTAAGGATCCCCACACCAGGTCCATCCACTCAAGGTACCTTCTACAGGTGAGGCCGATTGTCTTAATTTAATGGTTACCAGAGCGGAATTGGGGGTTTTAAAGTAGTGGAGGCAAGTGGATTTTTGGGATCTATGATCGTTTGTAGCAAGGTAAAATAATTGGAGAATGGAAAAAATAGGGTTAGTGGACTTGAGTTGGAGGGAAAATATACTCGACTTTGCAAGGAAGAGGTGTTTGTGTTTGGATGGGCATCTGAACTGGTTCTGTACACTCTGACATGACAGTGATAGGTGAATGATCGTGCAAGTGTTTTTTTTCAGTCCCTGACTCAGTGGACTTAATCCCAAAAGGTCTTATCTGTGGTGTACACTTTACAAAACTATAATATAATGTGGAATAAATCTTCTTTTCTGGTGGACACTTCCCGGGAGATAATTGTCTTAACAGCAAGGTGTGGATTCGTCGGAAGCAATTTGGTTTACTGGTGTCGGAGTTCCCTCAAGGAGTTTTGACGTGAGGGGCTCTTGATCTAGGGAATTTAAATCAGTGCTCAGTTCCTGAATTAAGCCTGAATAACCTTCCAGCCCTTTCCCCAGACATAATCCTATGGGTTTAGCGTTCCATGATTAATATAATGGAAAAGAGTTGGAGGGGTAAAATGTAATTAAAATAGTACGGGTGCCATAAATTAAACTGTAAAATGTAAAAAAAGAAGGTGCAAAAAAAAGGAAGAAGTTTTTTGTACTGACTTCCAGCTCCTTGTCGCCTCAAGAAGGTTCCTTGATGCTGATGGGGCTCTTGATCTACGGAATTGGATCTCTTCTCCAATTCCCTGAATTAAACCCGAGTACTTCCACATCTTGCCTCAGGCACTCTGTAATTAAGGGTTAAGTTCCCCTGATTAATACTAATCACCTGGCCAACCAGACAAACAAACTGTAATTAAAATGTACTCTTACCACTCTTACAATACAAAATTTAGATTTCTTTATGCAGTACAAAATGTAGTTTACGTGTAAAAAACATTTAATAAAAGTAGTTTGTTGTATACAGAGAACATTTAATAATTAGTTTAGTGTAAACTAAACATTTAATAATGTAGTTTACGTGTAAACAGAACATTTAAAAAAGTAAGTTCTGTAAACAAACTTTATATAATGTAGGTTTAGTGGTAAACAAAACATTTTAAAAAAAATAAACGTTGTAAATAAAATACTGCAGAAATTTCTTGCAACGAACTTGTAACTGGGCACCATTAATTCCCTTATGGCAGTTGTCTTCGTGTGATGTATTTTAGGAACCAATAAGCGGAATATTTGGACCCTCAAGGGGATTTCCGACTGGTGAGGGTTTTCTCTGGAAATGGACTGGTGCTCCCAGTTCCCCAATTGAGATACTCCCATCCCCCCCAAGGCTCTGTATAACCTAGGGTTTAGCTCTCTCCAGGATTATAATAATGAGATTGAGCACTTTGCAACATTCGGGAATCTTAAATGGAGGAAACATTTTGTCAGCCAAAGGTTTCTCAGTCCATAACAGAGAAAAATGGGAAAGATAAGGAGAATGGTAATCAGTCGACCAGTCTGAGTCGATGTGTTCAGTCATCAGTTAGAAAAATACAGCATCATCGGACTGGTTATAACTGCAGTCAGGTGAAAGTGGCTGGAATATGCTGCACACTAACCCCCTTTCAGGCAGTGAAATTCGCCCAGAATCTCAGAATTCGCGCAGGAGGGATAAAACCCTCAAATTACTGGAGCGCTTGAGGTTCCTAAACTGTATTCCCTGGACGCGGAGGGAGAACTGATTATATACACTGGAAAATTCTAGAGGGACTAGTACCGAACTTGCACACGAAAATCACCACTTACGAAGCAAAGATGGCAGACGATGACATCCAAATGAAAAGTAGCAGGGTCACTAGCACGTAAGAGACCATACAATAAGTTAGGGCCGAGACTGTTCAACTCCTCCGCATATTTAAAGGGGGGTTCCAACAGACCCGGCTGTCTTCAAGATGGCCTGGACAAGCACCTAAGTCGGTTCCTGACAGCCGGCTGTGGACGTACGTAGTTTGCGTGCAGCCAGCAGTAACAGCCTGGTTGATCAGCTTCTACCACCAGGAGGCTGGTCACAACCGGCCGCCGGGGGCGTTGACCCCGGAATCTTTCCAGGTATATAGCAGTCAGGTGAATAGAATCCAGATGTCACCCTGGACAAACCCTAGTGTTAAGCACAGGTCATGCTTTTAGGTTGGAACTTAAACCCCTGTTCACGATCCTACATGCTGTGTGTCTGACCGGTGATACAATTGTCAGACTGAATTGAGGAATGTGTCACTGGTGGAGATCAGTTCCTCAAAGATTACGAATATTGCATAAGCGTCTGTTCTTTTTTTCGAGTAAGCGTGGTATATTTCTTACCCAAGTGCTTTTGAGACCCCCGTGAAAAGCGGGGCACCACGAGGTATGCTAAGAGAAACAAGTGTCAGGGGCCCCAGATGTTTCAAAATGCCTCCCAGCATACATAAGGGGGTTCCATAAACCCTGGCTGTCTTTAAGACCCCCGGTTATATCCAAGACCCCTGGCTGTCTTCAAAGACCCCTGGTTGTCTTCAAGACCCCTGGTTGTCCTTCAAGAACCCCCTCCTGTTGTCTTTCAAGACCCCTGTTGTCTTCAAGACCCCTGGTTGTCTTCAAGACCCCTGGTTGTCTTCAAGACCCCTGGTTATCTTCAAGACCCCTGGTTGTCTTCAAGACCCCTGGTTATCTTCAAGAGGGAGCTGGACAGA